TCTTACAGTCCTACAACTCACTATGGCATTTGCCTTTTGTGTAGCATATGTTGGCTTGGGTTCAACTTCAGATCCAAAACAACCCAGACATTTTCTTCCTGAGGTCTGCTACACACACACACCCCACATCTTGCATTTGCGCATTCGGTCATTTCTAATTAAATGTCCCACTCCACATGTTTTATCTCTGAACTCTCTTTTTTCAGATCTCAGTATCTCCACTTTATTCAAGTAGTTTTAAATTGTAGGTTCCACCTCGCACACGGATGTGTGGTCAGCCAAGTTTTAACTGCTGTCATCTCTCTGCAAGTACTTCAGACAAGCATCCCAACCACTTGTCTTTACCTATCTGCAAAATTACACTTCAAATTTTCCCTTCCTTTTTGGAAATTGAAAGCTCCTCCTGCTGGCCTATGGTTGAACTAAAGACAAACCAAAATAAATACTTGCCAAACCAAGGAAATGCAACACCAACATTACTGGTATTTTAGTATCTTTTGGCATTTAGCATTGAGACAAACAAACCTCAGAAAAATCTCACTCTTCAAGATGCATAGATTGAGGTAATTCCAAGGATTTGCCTAAAAGAAACAGTTTATCCACACTATCTGAAAGAGATAGAGCGAAATCAGATTTTCTTCTTCCCATGGCAAACAATCTGCTGCTCTGGCATAAACTAGTGATTATTAATTACTTTTCTACTGCAGCTGAGGAATAAAACAAGCTAAGATACTGACCACAAAGGTAAGAAATCCAAAAGTGACTTGCAGTCACAAACATTCCTGATTACTCTTCTCATATAAAACTACCACCATTTTAGTCATAGTTTTTTGTTAATTCTGATCAAGTTTTGTTAGTTCTGATCAGATTTCTTTAAAGAACCAAAAGGTGGCTTTGCTGCTCAACAATAATTTTAATGAGAGTAATTGTTCAATTTTGGTGTTCTTAAAAGACATACTAACAACTAAGAGTAGATTTGCAAAGCTCCACATTAAAAGCAGTATTTCCCCATCCCACATCTCTTCAGCAGGAGTTCAAAGCAGATTTCCAGATTACTTGAGTCAGACATAGAACAGTTTGAGTCACCAGACTGCACAGTTAGATAATCTTGTAATTATTTCAAGTGACTACTGAGCGAGACCTAACAGATGTGTTAAACAAAACTCATATATACCTAGATGAAGATCCAGGCTAACCCAGTAACACCAGCAAATATCTATCAGCAGTACCACTCTCAAAATGGGTAACTCATTTACTGTTTGAAGTTCACCTGAGAGTCCAAACAGAAAAAATATCATTGTTCCCATTTCCTGAGATTGCTAAATATTTCAGATTGAGACCAAATACCAGCAGAATAATTCTATCACTCAACTCTTAATACTTTGCATTCAACTTACCTATTCTTATTCCTCACAGCCTTGGGAAAACAGTTGAGGGAGGGGGGATAGGGACTGACATATACCCAAAACCCCAAATCTTTGCATTGTAGAAGGAGAGAGATTAGACCCAACCAATACAAAACAAACCACATCACCAAGCAACCAATTTTCAGTGAGAAATTCTTTCATTCTAGTGAGATACAAAATAAAAGTTTAAATTATGCACATCTTCTGTGCACTCCCTGCTTTGCAAAGCTTTTGAGTCTTTGTAAGCCAATTCATCACTGCATAGACATGGCAACTGAAGTCCTCATAATTCAACATTGACTCATCTCTCTCTAGGTCATTCCCTATGTTCTGCAACCCATTTTCACTACAACCCTGAACCACCTGCAGATGAGTCAACACATTCTTAATCCCACCTTTCTGTTTTACCAGTAACTCAAGCTAGTAATTGTGTTTTCCACTTCAATGAGCTAGATGAACTCAGAAATTTTCCTATCTGCTCTCTCAGTTTGGAATTGGCAGGTTGTTTATTCAATAACTATAAAGAGTTGCAAACTTCAGAACAGCAAAAGCACTGTGTTTTATGCGGCCAAAATCTTTTGGGGATGAGTTAATTCAGCCTTGCTGATAAGTAGCCCACATTTAGAATTATTGAATGGTTTAGGAAAAGGCCTTTAAGATCATTGAGTTCAGCCTGTTTACTGAATGCTTATTCTCTTTTTCCCCCACTCACTATCAACCCTGCCAAGCCAACCCTCCTATTACTCCTCCAGAGTCTTTCCCTTCGGGTTACATGAGCCAAAAACTTTCTAGGGTGGCATACCACAGAAAGTTTTCTCTTCACAGGCACAGCTTAAGAGTTGAGACCAGAGCTCTCAGATCATCTATCTCCTCTTTCAGTACAGTCAGCAGAGTACACTGCATGCAAGAACTGAGATTTCAGTGGGAATAAAAAATATGGCATGTTCAGGGCAAGTGACATTCGTTATCCCCTTATTATCCATCCCCATCACCACAAGCAGAAATAATGCTCTCCATCAAAACTTCCTCCATCATTCCCCACTTGTATCTCCAATTCATCTAGCTCAGCAGTTCTGAGTCTCCAGCCATTATCACTGCTTGTGATATCACCAGTCATGTCAACTGGGAGGGATTCATTACTTTAGGACTCCAGAGACCGCCAAGACCTTCAGCAAGATACAAAAGAAAGATGATAAGCAGAATTGTTAAGTGCTCTATGTATCAATTTCTCGGTAGAGGGTGACAACAATATGTTAAATAATACAGCAATCAAAAATCACTTGGTTTTTTTTGAGAAGACACGAATCTGTGGATTCATTACCTTCTATTGTTCAAGGCCTGAGTGCAATAACAAAATAGGACACAACATTTAAATGTGTAACATCTATGCTGGCATGAGACAAAATATGCAAGTAAAACACATGCCATTTTTCTAGACTATTAATCTGCATTTTGAAGCAGCACACACTGGCAGTCACTACCACAGCCAGGGAACACTGGTACTGGTTGTGAGCAAAACACCCAAGATCTTGTGCTGTTGTCATTAATATAGTCACAGATTCTTCCAAGCTGGAAGGGACCCACAAGAATCATCAAGCCCAGCTCTGAAGTGATGGCCCCTAGAGGAATCAAACCCGTGACCAACACCATGCTTTGAAACACAACAAAGAGCCACCAGTAAGTGGACATAGAGAAGAAGTAACAAAAATACTGTAATGATTTTGCAAGCAATCTTTAAAATTCTCACAATTTGTAATACTCTCATTCTGCATGACTCCTTTCAGTGGTACCCAGCCATGTTGTAAGGGCAACAGGCTCAAACTGAAACACAAAAGCGCCATCTGAATACGAGGGGAAGATTTCCTTTACTTTGAGGGTGACAGAGGACTTGAAAAGCTGCCCAGAGAGGTTGTGGAGTATCCTCTGGAGATATTCAAAACCCACCTGGCTGTGATTCTGTGCAACCTGCTCTTGGTGAACCTGCTTTAGCAGGGAGGTTGAACTAGGGGATCTCCCTTCTGTGACTGATGCTTGTGGAGCACTGCATATTTCTCATTGATCCTACAGTGCAAACAGCTCTGGAGTTCTGTCACCTTACAGCAACAGCAAACGTCTTACACTATGAAAAATACATCTTGAAAATTGAATTTCCAGTCTTAACGCCTAATTCTGTTAATTTACAAGTGCAGGAAGAAACTCTTACGTTACCCTGTTAAGTAAGAAGCTAGCACTCTTCATGAAAAAGGGTAGTTTTAAAGACCTGTCTAGGTCTTGCACTAATCATTTTTTTCACCAACAGCTGCCCTCAGATGATGGATTTAAAGATAAATAAATTATATTTGTCCAGCACACGCTACTTCCTCAAGCTAACCCGACCTTGACAGACAGATATACTTCCAAAATAAATAAATCATATGCGCAAATCGAGTTAAGCCTTTATTCTTTTCAGACCTCAATCTCAGAAGTTGTTACGTGCAAAGGCTGGCGGAATAAAGTCAGTGGAGGGAAAAAAAAATCCATTTCAGGAACATACTGCCCTCCTGCTGTGTCTCAGAAAACAGAGAAAAAAGCGAGCACAAGCTGAGAGCAGCGAGTTTAAAGGTCCAAAGTGCGGGCGGATCACGCCGGCAGGGCAGGGCGGAGCGGGCCCGGCCAGGAGCCCCGGGCGCGCAGCGCGGCCCGGCAGCGCCCCCCGGCGGCGGCACCGCGGGCCTGCCCCGGCCGCGCCGCGCACACGCACCGCGGGGAGGGCAAAATTCAAAATAAATAAATAAAATCAAAAAATCGCCAATGCGAACGCGATTGTCCTTGGCACTAAAACTGCGCTGTCAATCGCCTTATCGTCTGACCGACGTCAGAACAACTCGCAAGTGTTAACGCTGGGTGAGGGAGTGATCGCTCTTTTCCCGTGGCTCCGTCTAAAAGACACACGCACACAGGAAAAAGCGAAACGTGAGTCATCATCGGGCCGCTGTGAGGATACTGTATAACTTCCCAGGCACGGGAAAGTCACCTAAACACGACATAAACAACTTTCAACTCACAGAGGGAACCCCAAGAAACCGATTATTTCTTAAATCGGCTAAAATACACACAGCGTGATACAAATCCGGTGGAGCAGCACTCTTTACGGCCTGCAGAAAACGATGGCAACCCCACGAAACACTACACCCAAGTGCAGACACCATGGAAGGGGAGTGGTAGCAAGAAAAAAATACGAAAAATAATCATCAGCTCCCTTGTTTCTGAGTAAGGAACACAACCCGAGTGTGTAATATAGTTGCGGGGGGAGGGGTGAGGGGGCTTAACACAATGCCGCGAAAAAACCCTCAAATCCAAACCAAAACACCACCTAGCCAACGATAAAGGCACAACCAAAATCCCTATTACCGCTTCTTTAAGGATAGACAAAATAAAACATTAACCACCCTTCCAAAATTTCGGAATTCCCCTTTGTGCGGGGAGAGATAATACTGGCACAAATGTAGTTTTACTTCTGCTCTTACCTGATTAAAAAAGTAACCCGGGGCTCTGCACCTCCCTACCATGATGAATCATGGTCTCCCCGGACCGAGCCCCGCCGAGCAGCCTCACCTTAAAATTACTGGAGTTGACCCACGCTGTTAATTCGTCGATCACTTTATCAAGGCGCTGCTGGTCTTGCTCCAGATCGGAGGACCTCGCCGGGTCGCCCAAGTACTCCAGCAGCTCTTGGCCGACCTGCATCCTGCGGCCCACGTCCTTCTGCTGTACCTGCTCGCAGAAATAATCCATGCCGGCAGGCTCCATCTTCGGACGCTGCGGAAAAGTTTCTTCGTAGGCGAGCCGAGGGCCTCAGGGTC